ATACAGTGACTGGGGCAATGGAGGTTGGTGTGTCAGAATTAGTGAGACTGGCTCAGGACAGGGAAGGTTCAGAGCTGCTGTACATAGGGTCGCTATGCATTGCAGGCAACTCAATGGCACATAATAATAACATACCTTGAGAGGTTTGGAAGCAGGAGTGACATCCTCTTCCTAAACGACATGTCTGTGGAAACTCTGTGAACTTTGATAAATGTCGATAGTTGTAGAGGAGCTTCAGGCTTTTTGTTCATAGGGTCACTATGAGTCCTTGCTCAACTGGAAGACAATCAACAACAATGTTACTCAATATATTATTGCTGTTTTTTGTGTGTGTGCCATTGAGTTGGAATAGACCCATAGTTGGGCCTTTTGTAGATTTTCTCAGAGGTAGTTTATCACACCAAAAGAGATTGCTCATCTTTTTTCCAGAGAGCAGCTGTTGTTAGTTTTTTGTTTCTCTCTTTTCTTTTTGTGTATCATCGAATGAAATCTGACCAGCAGAGGAGATTGCCCTTCCTTCTCCAGCTGAGCATCTTGTAGATTCAGATCACACACCTTCTGGATTGCAGCGCAGCTTCTTGTCGGTAGGCCACCAGAACTCCCTCAGCTGGTATTTAATCGATTAGAAAGCATCAGAACCCTCTGTACAATGGAATGAACATTATCCAGCCCTGTGCTGTTCTCATGATCGTCATTCTGTTGGAACGCATTGTTGGAGTTGCTGCTTCAGTGCATTTCATTGAAGGTCTTCCTCTTTTTCACTGACCCTCTGCTTTACCTATCATGTCCCTCAAGGACTACTATGTGAGATAGCATCTTGCCAGCCTCACTTCTACAGAACATTCTGGCTGTATTCCAAGATAGCTTTTTCCAGTCTTCTGGCATGTTGTGGTCAATTCAGAATTCTTCACCAGCCTCATTCATAGGCATCAGTTCTTAAATCTTCTTTTTATGTTGTCCAGCATATGTTGTTGCATTTATTATTATGTGCTGTAGAATTGACAACTCATAGTGACTATCTATGAACAGTGAGTTTTATCCTGCCTTTTGCTGTGCCTTCCTCCTCATCTGTGATACATTTGATAACCATGGTTATGGTCACTGTGTCAGTCTATCCCTCATTAAGGGTCTTCCTCTCTTTCTCTGACCCTCATCCTTCCCAAGGACTGATCCCTCCTAACCAAATGCTCAAAATACGTGATGCCAAGTTTCACCATCCTTGCCTCCAAGGAGCACCCTGGTAAAAATGGCTTGGGTCAGGTGCACTTATTTTTCAAGGTGACACCTTTGCTTTTTAGTGTCATAGCAGATTTACTCAATACAGTATTTCCTTTCATTTTTTTAAATATTAAGCCAAATTATATCTTTTAGTTTAATTATTTTTCTTGATTGTTCCTTTCATTTTTTTAATGTTGCTTCCATCAACTTTGATTGTGTAAAATGAAATTCTTGACAACTTCAGTCTATTTTATTTGTTGTGGTGGTGTTATTGGCCCAATTGTGAGGATTGCTTGAATTGCATGGAGGGGCAGAGATGAGAGGAAGATCCCAGATGGGATGGATTGATGCTACAACTGGGGTAATGGGGGTAGGTGTGTCGGAGATATAGACTGGATCAAGATAGAGCAGAGTTCAGAGCTGTTGTACATAGGGTCGCTGTGAGTCACAGGCGGCTTGCTGGCACATAACAACAATGTGTTGCGATGTGATCCATACTGAAAGGCTGTAGATTGAGTTTCATCAGTAAATTCCCGACGTTATCTTAGTTTTTAGGAAGCACTATTGTATATTCTGCATATTTTAAGTTGTTGAAGAGTCTCTCATCCTGATGCTGTGTGCTTTTTCATCCAGCTTCTTAGATTGTTTGCTTAGCATACAGATAAAATAAATATAGCTAATGCATACAATTCTGATGCATACTTTTCCTGATTTTTAACTTTGTGGTATCCCTTTGTTCAGACCACCACTTCTTGTTCTATGCACAGGTTCCACAAGTGTGTAATTAAAGTGTTTTATAACGTCATTCTTCACAATGTTATTCATGATTTGTTGTGATTTACATAGTCTAATACCTTTGCATGTTGTTGTTGTTGTTGCTGTTGTTAAGTGGCGTCGAGTCACAGGCAACTCATAGCGACCCTATGAAGGAGAATCCTCAACGCGTGAATACCTTTGCATAGGCAAGAAAATACCACTAAACATCCTGGTATTTTTTGCTATCAGACAAGATCCATCTGACATCACTGATATCACACATTTTACATTCTCTTTTGAGTTTGTGACAGTACCTTATACATGTATTGCTACAGTTGTTTTTGTATTATCTTCAACCCTGTTTTACCTGTGTGTGATATTATTGCTGGGTACCTTTTGCATTTTGTTTGTCGTAGATTGAATTGTGCCTCCTCTATGAGTCATGATGTTGAGTGCTTTAGCAGTCATGTAATGACGTAATTTGGCAGTTATGATATAATCATCCTCCATGATTATGTCACACATGATATCATCAACCAGTTGTTAGAGGACTAAAATGAGCTGTAACACCCTTACATCCAAGCCTTAATGTAAAGGGAGTGAGTTTCCCTGGGTCTAGCCTACATTACTTTTAATCTTACAAAGGAGGGACAAATAAGCAGAGAGGTTGGGATCTCAGTACCATCAAGAAAGAAGAGCTAAGAGTGGAGTGCATCCTTTGGACTTGGTGCCCCCTGCACTGAAAACTCCCCAGACCCAGAGAAAGACCGGTACTAAAACACATAAAGATCTTCAGCGAATACTGGAATCACAGATTTTGAAGATACTACCCCAGAGAAGACAGATAGAACAATCTTTTCCCTGTAGCTGTCACCCTCAATTGTAACTTCTGTTTGTTAAAGCAATTCACTTGTATTTTTCTTATAGTAATATACAAGATAACCAAGACATTGCTGGGTCACCTTTCTTTGGAATGGGCAAATATGTGGATTTCTTCCAGTCAGTTGGCCAGGTAGCTTTCTTCCATATTTTGTGCTGTAGACAAGTAAATGGCTTTCAACATTGCATCACTTTGTGGAAGCATAAAATGATAGTGTTTCAGTTCTTAGAACCTTGTTTTTCACCAGCACCATCAGTACTTTGACTTCTTTCTTCACTATTCATTCATTCTTGATCATATGATGCTGCCTGAACTGGTTGATCATCAGCCAGTTCTTTTTGACTGTGTATTCCTTTCACCTTTTTATGTTTCTGACGTAATTCACTATTTTACCTATGTAATCCTTCAGGATTTTCTCTCAAGATGTGAACTTGTTTTTTTAGTTCTTTCAGCTTGAGAAATGCTGAGCATGCTTACCCCTTTGGCTTTCTAACCTGAGGGCTTTGCATATTTCATTATAACACATTGCTTTGCTTTTTCTTCTAGAGGTACTTTTACACCTGATCAGCCCTCTTATTTCATCATTTCTTTTTTTGCTTTAGCTTCTCTGCATTCCAGAACCTGTTGTAGTCTCTTCTGACATTCTTCTTAGTTTTTTCTTGATATCCTGTCTTTTTAAGGACCTTTTGCTTCTTCATATATGTTTTTCATGTTATCCCACGTTTGGTCTGGCCTTTGGTCATTAATATTCAGTGCATAAAAAATCTATTCTTTGAGATTGTCTCTAAATTCATTTAACTAAATTTTTCAATCAGTTGATTTGATTTCAGGTTTTCGATATTTAAATAATGGTACTGTGACTAGTCTTGTACATATAGCAAATACCTTAATACAAAACTTTGAGAAAGGATAATAGTGTAATAGAAAAGTAGGTTTTCTTTTAAACTTTAAACTAAAAGTTGAAGGATTTGTTCTATTTCGGGCTTAAATACATCTTAGACAATGCTAGGAAGATAGTTTTCTTGAACTTCCCTTAACATTTCAAAATTAAAATTTTTGTCTGTTTTTACTTATCTCACGTACTCTGGGTGTGTTGCTATTGTTGTTAGGTGTCGTCATGTTGAGTGTGGCCCATAGCAACCCTGTGGGCAAAAGATCTGAACCCCATTCTAACCTGTGCCATCCTCACACTTCCTGAGTCACAAGAGCTGATTACAGCAGTCAGTGTGTCAGTGTATCTGGTTGAGGGTCTTCCTCTCCTTAGCCTATCCGCCCTACCCAGCCTCGTGTCCTTCTCCAAGGAATAGCCCCTCCTATCAATGTGTCCAAAGTATGTGAGCCTCATCATTCTTGCCTCCAAAGAGCACTCTCCAACACATAGCTATTGGTTCTCTTGGCTGGCCATGGACGTGACAAATATGCCACTTGTGTGTCACATGCCATAAGGGTTACCCATGGTGGACAGGTTTTGGTGGAACTCCCTGACTAAGACAGGCTAGGAAGCAGGATGGGCTATCTACTTCCTAAATAACAGGCCTTTGAATACCCAATCTGGACATGTTGCTAGGATAGGCTAACTCTTTGGAGAGGGAAATCATGCTTGGGAAGTAGAGATCATAAAAGAGAGGAAGACCCTCAGTCAGATGGATTTATAATTACCTCAGCAACGGGCTCAAGCACGTCAGAGAGTACTAGTTTAGGACAGGGTTTAGATCTGTTGATAATGGGTTGTACTCAAGTTTATGGTACCTAAAACTACAAGAACAACATTTTTTCTGGTAGTTAGTTGAGCATATAGTCCAGTCGCCTTAAAAGCAATGATTCTGTTCATCTAAAATGTGTCTGTGCAAGTAAAACCTGTTTTGTAATTTCTTCTCCTAGGACTATTTAGAAACCAGAAAATTTTAAGAGAATATAGAGACTTCTTAGGAAATACCAAGGTAAGGACATCTTGTAACAAAATGTTTATGTTTAATGGATATAGTACAAAATCCTAATTAATACCCATTAATTGTATAATTTGACATGTCAATGATCTTAATCCAAGATTTTCTTGAGCACATTGTAATTTACTGAATTACACTTTAGTTCATGTATCTAAATGTTAAAATTGAAGTATATATTCTTAAATATATAACTATCATGATGCACAAGTATTTAGATAAAGATGTAGGAATAGGTTTTATTTTCTTACTTTTAGCAAGATTAAGCTTGCTCGTGTATACCATTTTGTCTTCTCTCCTATTCCTAATCCTGATTAAAACTTCAAAGAAACAATTCTTTCCTGTACTCATGATTATAGCCTTCAGAAAAGAAAGTTACACAGCCATTATAATTATTTTCTCTTTATTTTATGACTGTACAAAATGGATAGATACTCAGTAGTACCTGAATGTCTTGTTAAACATCGTTAGATATTTGCTCCCTTACTATGTGAGAATTTAGTATACTGCTTTCTCTCCTAAACTTTATAGCCTCACTCTTTCCTCTTCAACTGATAATGTGTGCTTCACAGTTCATTGGATAAAATGGTTATTCTCTAGTAAGAGTGCCTTATCAACATCAAATTCACAAATATATCTGCAAAAATGCCCACCTTGTTTCATTTTTCCCAGAACTGAAATCTAGCTTGTTGAGATCTACGTAGTCAGCCTTCCTCTCCTGTCATTCCCATTCCCTCTCATATGCACCAGTCTTGTATTTCCCTAGTGATCCTCTCTTTTCTTGTGTGTGCAACCTCTACTCTGCCCTCTTTACTGAATTATTACCGTCAGAAAAAAAAAAGCTGGAAAACCTCAAAGTCATTGTCATGGAGTCAAACCGACTCATAGCTGACCCTCCAGTATTTTTCTTTGAGACTGTAAATGTCACGGAAGGAGATTGCCCTTCTTTTTCCTGAACCACCAAAGTGCCCCCTTTGGGTTGCAGTGTATCTCCCTCCCCACTATGCCGCCAGAGCTCTCTGATGAGCGTGCCGACATGCCTCAGTACAGAGCTGTCATAAGAACCTTCTACTCCATTGTTTGCCCAGTTGCTGCTACATTTCTGCTTCCTTTTTATCATCATTTTAATTTTTAAAAAGCTCTGTCCCCATTGCCTTCACTATTATTCCTCCGACCCTCTTTTGAACCCATTCTGATTGGACTTTCATCATCACCACTCCTCTGAAACAACTTCTCCCAGAGTCACCACCATCTCCAGTATGCCAAGCATCTGGTCCAGAGTTGGCGTTGATGTTAAATTTAATAAAGGAATTATTTCTTTTTTTTTCTATAATGATATTTTATTAATTTTCATAAACATTTACAGAGATTTTGGGTTTCCATTCATTCACCGCTGCACCATTCTCTCTACCCTCCTCCCAGTTTGTTCTTGTCCAAATGCCACAGTGCTTGTCAAAGCCAGTTCTGATTAATCTTCTTTGTCAGTGTG